CTTTGGTACTACCCCCAACCGCGGATAGATCCCCTCTAGTTCTATTGTTGCAGACAAGACACCTGAGTGAATCTTTTTGACTGTTTAAAATTTTAAATAGAAAATTGCTTCTTCACAAATAGATCTCTTGAGAATAAAAGAGTAAAAAAAATCGTTGAAGGGGTCTATTTGCAAAAAATTAAACTACGAAGGATCACCGGCGAAAGAAACACAAGTCAATTTTAGTAACTCACGAGGCGCCTCTCAAGGCAACACTAATAAATTTTTTGGCGCGAAATTAGGACCACCAACCACTTCAACTAACTTTCAAATAGAATGCTCTCCTTGAAACCCTCCCTCCCTCCTATTTCCCACATTAGATTTTAGATTTTACCAACAAAAGACACACCAAACAAAGAAAATCCAATACAGTCACTCTCCTTCCTCTTTCAAGCTATCAATCTCCAATCAACAAGACAAGGGAAGAGGAGAGGGGGAAACACCAAACACAATCACAACCATTACCAACAACAATGTCGTCGGCGGCAGATGCAATCAACGCGATCCGCAAGAACCGAAGATGGAGAGCCGCCGCCGCAGGCGCACTTGAATCGGCAGCTCCCCAGCCTCCTCCGTCATCCCGTGTCGTCGCTGTGTTGTTGCCACCGTACACCGACCACCCCAACCAAATTCCTCCTCCTCCGCTACATCCTCCGGCGACATCCAAACCTCCTCCAAATCCGTTGAAATGATCTGCAGCTCCACAGACTACACGCACACCTGCCAATCCAGCCTCACCAAGGTCGTCAAGTCCAACAACCCCGACCCGAAAGAACTCGTCAAGGCCGCAATCTCCGTCATCTTCAATGAGGTAGGCGCCGCTTTCAACAAAACAAATCTCATCAAAACCAACGACACCCACATCAAAGGTGCAATCGAAGACTGTCGTGAACTATTCAGAAGTTCGAATGATGAGCTTCACGCATCGTTGAATTTGATCATTGACAGAGGGATCGATCAATTACCGGATCAATCGCATAACATTCGGACTTGGCTGAGCGCAGTGATGTCATACCAGCAGACTTGCATCGATGGATTTCCCGATGGGGACTTAAAAAAGAGGATGAATGAGGGGATGAGGCACGCGAGGGAGCTAACAAGCAACGCGTTGGCGATAGTGAAGCAGGCGGCAAAGTATATGGAGATGTTGAATGTGGATGGGTTAATAGGGAAGAGGAGGTTGTTGGAGGATGTGGAGGATGTGGAGGAGGAGGAGACGGCAACTGCAGAGGACGACGAGTTGCCGTCGTGGATGCCGGAGGGGGATCGGAGGACGCTTAAGGAGAAGAGTCATGATAAGGTTAAGTTGAGCTTGAAGCCTAACGTGACGGTTGCTAAGGATGGGAGCGGGCAATTTAAGACTATATCGGCTGCGCTTGAGAACATGCCTCAGAAATATAATGGAAGGTACGTGCGAATGTACTTTTGTGTTTTGAGTATAAAACTGATACCAAGATTGAAATCACACGGAAACAGTACAGACGCAAACACATAGACGCAAACACATAAATTTTAACGTGGTTATACATCTATGAATAGCAATAAAAAATTGTTCTACTAATTCAAATGATTTTATAAAAGTGAAAACACGCCCTATATATAACTGTGATCATGCATTCAATGTGATGGTGATCGACTGTCGGCGGGAGATTCGAGGACAAACCACCTTTCGATTTGGCTCTGTGAGAGGGTCCATATGATGCCTTTCGTCTCGGTCTTGCGAGCGGGCCAATTAGTACCACATTTTTATTCGGCCATCTTGGATTCGAAAGTTGCCAACTCAGCCTCGTAGGGTGTAGAGGAGTAGGGTCGACTCAAGTAGTGGCTCCGAGTGAGGACATTTTTCGACATAGCCTCCTTAGGTAGGGTTGGAGTGTCAATGTTGCTTGAGTCGTTCTGCCTAGGGTGAAGTTAGTATGGACACGTGTCAGCCCATGGGGGATGATTAACACTTAGCCAATTCTACGTAGTAACATTAGCCCCTTTCACATGGACTCGGGTAGCCGAGTTCGCGTGAAATGAACAGTTGACTGTTGGTACTACGAGGCGCAATTTAAGAGGGATCAGAGAGGGGTAGACAGTGTTGGATAACAACAGCTTGTGGGGGCCACAAGCTTGAACAAAACGCGTGAATGGCAGACATGTGAGCCGATTTCACGTGACCTCGGGCCCACCAAAACACATGAATGAAGCTGGCATTTTTTGTTTCTTTTCAAGCTAGGCCCACCTGAGTTCATGAGTTCATGCACCTATAAAACTACGTTTCTAGGGTTTCGGGATGCGTGCAAGGAGAGGTCTTTGTTTCGGCTGCAGGAGAGAGTGCAGGAGTACGAAGTTGAGGTAGAAACGAGATTCAAAAGTCGGTTGTTTTCTTTTTCGTGGCAGCGCGTGCAAGTGCAGGTGTGCAGTGGGGACAATACGGATTTCGGCTGCTCGCAAGGCAGAGGGGAAAACCGTGTTGACTTGTGCGGTGTGCGAGGAGAAAAGTTACAGAGGCTGTTTTCTTTTTGTGTGAGAGGTTTTGAGAGATTGTGTGAGGGTTTAGATTGAGTGATTGTAAACCCTAGTTGTATCTCTCCCTCTAATAGTAGATCTCTTGAGGTTTGTGGCCATTGTAATAGCTTTTAGGATCCCTCGACGCGCAGTCCTAGAGCTGACGAGAGGAAGAGCAAATATCCTACTTTGATGAGATATTAGGCTTCAGATTCTTGTTCCCTTTGAGAAACAAGAATTCTTTTCGATCTTTCTCTCTTATTGTGCACCAGAAACTCTGCCGAAATTTCCGTTGCGCACAACAAGTGGTATCAGAGCTCGGGCTACGCTTGGGCTATTTGGAGAAGTAGACCAATTTGGAGGCTCGTTAGGGCTTCGTTTGGTGTTAAAGGTGGGATCTTTTGGTAAAGACTCTATCTTTTAGTTTTGGATCTATTCTTCGTTCGTTGGTGTGTAAGATGTCGGGGAAAGAAGGTGCTTCGGGTGTTGAGGGTGGTGCTTCTGGCGCGAAGACCATTCAGAGTTTGAATATCCACTCTATGAAGATAGATGTGGAGAAGTTTAATGGCACAAACAATTTTGGATTATGGAGATGTGAGGTTTTGGATGCGCTGAACGCGCAGAATTTGAAGGATACCTTGGAGTTAGATGGCAAGCCAGATGAGATTGAAGAAAAGGTTTGGAAGAAGATGAATCGAACGGCGTGTAGTGTGATTAGATCTTGTTTGACTCAAGATCTAAAATATGATGTGATGAACGAGACTTCTGCGAAGAAGATTTGGGAGATTCTCGAAAGCAAGTATTTGACCAAGAGTGTGGAAAATCGCTTGCATTTGAAGAGGAGGCTTTATCGTTTCCAATTAAAGAAGGGAACCTCCATTAGAGATCACATGAACCACTACACGAAGCTTCTTGCGGATTTGGCGAATGTGGATGTCATAATTGAGGATGAGGACAAGGCGTTGCTGTTGTTGAGTTCCTTGCCCGACGAGGAATATGAAACCTTCGTCCTTACTCTGATTAATGAGAAGGCATCTCTTTCGTATAGTGAGATCACTGCTGCATTGGTGAATTATCAGCTTCGGAAGAAGGATAAAGAGACTTCGACTGAGTCGGTAGCAGAGGCGTTGGCCGCAAGAGGGAAGGGTCCGAACCGAAAGAATTAGAAGTCACAGTCTAGAGTAGAAAAAGATCAGTGTGTTTGGTGCAAGGAGACTGGTCATTGGAAGAAAGATTGCCCAAAGCTCGACGAATGGATGAAGAATAAGCAGAAGGGAAAAGGGAAGAAACCATCATCAGAAGCAAACATCATATCGGATGGTAATATTTCTGACTCTTCTATTTATTCGCTTTCTATCAGTCCGAAAGATAGCTATTCGGAGGAATCCGAGTGGATGTTGGATAGTGGTGCGACCTATCATGTGTGCCCTAGAAGGGAATGGTTCTCCAGTTTTGAGAAGCTGGATAGTGGTGTGGTGTACATGGCTGATAACCGTGTATGACAGATCCTTGGGATAGGAAGAATTCACATAAAAATATTTGACGGGACTGTTAGGGAGTTAAATGATGTGAGATATGTTCCTTCTTTGAGGAAGAACTTGATCTCAATTGGAGCTTTGGTTGGAGAGGGTCTGAATGTTCGAATTGAGGACATGGTTCTCAAGATTGTGGAAAACTCTTAGATTGTGATGAAGGGCGTCAGGAGGAATAACCTGTATTACTTGACTGGAGGTATAGTGGCAGGTGGAGAACTGGCGACTTCTGTTGATTCGACTAGACTGCGGCATTTAGGGCTTGGCCATTCCAGTATTGATTCCTCGCATAGATTGAAAGAGGGTGTGAAGACCTGCAGTTTGAAGTCCAGTGAACATGTTGATGTGAGCAAGAAGACCGAGGTGAAGTGTGGCACCTCTATTCACCGTGCTAAGGGTCGTTCTGGAGGAGTTCACGTGGATGTTTGGGGACCTTCCAAGGGAGCATCATTGGGAGGTAATAGGCGTTTGGTTTCCTTTGTTGGTGACTGTTCTAGGTGTGTTTGGGTTGCAACCAAATCCCCTTTGGAGAAAGTCCTAGTAGTATCCAACAAATTGAAGAAGTGTGTAATAGATAGAAAGGTGAAGGTACTCCATTCTGATGGGAGGTACAATATGGACCTATTTTTGTATTGGAGCCGAGCTCACGGCATTTCGAGACACTTCGTTGGAAAGGAAATCTTGGGGCAACTAGATAGGTTGACAAATTTGGAGAACCATACCTTGCTGGAGGAGGAACGGTGTTTGTGGTCGAGCAATGGTCTGCAGAAGAGTTTCTGGATAGAGGCTTCGACATATTTGGGTCATCCTATTAAAGAGTTATCAACTGCTGTGATTGGAGGTAAAACTCCATTGGAAGATAGGTCTGGTAGTGTCACTTTAGTTGAGGCTTCGATGATGGAGCTAATTGACTCTCAGCAGGTGGAGAGTTTTGGACAGACCTTAGAGGTATCGCAACGGGTGGAGATTGATGCTACTCCACATTGGGTGGTGATTTTCCCACATACTCCAGGTCATTCTGCATTGGTTGGGATTCCAGCTGAGGTGACACAGCGTGGAAGTCATTTGGATTCGGATGCAGATGATGAGTTGGGTTTTGATTCGAGTGCAGCTGATAGATGCAGTTTATATATGACCATTGGTTCGCCTCAGGTGGAGGTGTTTGAGGCCATTGGAGGTACTATCAGCCGCAGAGTTGATGATATTGGAGAAGGGTTGCGAACTCTTCTATTGGTTTGAGGTCGTTCGCGGCCATTTGGGTGAACTACGTTCGACTTGATTCCTTGGGCAAAAGGATACGTAGGTAGTCTTTCAGATGCAGCCGGGTTTGGATTTTGATGGGGTGAGATCGATTTGGTGAGTTGATACCGACATTTGAAGAGTGTTTGCATTCTTATTTGGGTTCTCGACTTGTCCGTTGTCGTGAATTGTTTCACTTCGTACTGGACACAACAAGTGAGGCATTTGATTTGGTCGGTGTCGGTTCAGTTTTAGAAAAACTTCACCGAGGTGGATAATTGTTGGATAACAGCAGCTTGTGGGGGCCACAAGCTTGGACAAAACGCGTGAATGGCAGACATGTGAGCCGATTTCACGTGACCTCGGGCCCACCAAAACACATGAATGTGAATGGCAGACATGTGAGCCGATTTCACGTGACCTCGGGCCCACCAAAACACATGAATGAAGCTGGCATTTTTTGTTTCTTTTCAAGCTAGGCCCACCCGAGTTCATGAGTTCATGCGCCTATAAAACTACGTTTCTAGGGTTTCGGGATGCGTGTAAGGAGAGGTCTTTGTTTCGGCTGCAGGAGAGAGTGCAGGAGTACGAAGTTGAGGTAGAAACGAGATTCAAAAGTCGGCTGTTTTCTTTTTCGTGGCAGCGCGTGCAAGTGCAGGTGTGCAGTGGGGACAATACGGATTTCGGCTGCTCGCAAGGCAGAGGGGAAAACCGTGTTTACTTGTGCGGTGTGCGAGGAGAAAAGTTACAGAGGCTGTTTTCTTTTTGTGTGAGAGGTTTTGAGAGATTGTGTGAGGGTTTAGATTGAGTGATTGTAAACCCTAGTTGTATCTCTCCCTCTAATAGTAGATCTCTCCCCTCCTTGCCCCGTGGACGTAGGCAGTTTGCCGAACCACGTAAAATTAGTTTGTTTGAGTTTGTGACCATTGTAATAGCTTTTAGGATCCCTCGACGCGCAGTCCTAGAGCTGACGAGAGGAAGAGCAAATATCCCACTTTGATGAGATATTAGGCTTCAGATTCTTGTTCCCTTTGAGAAACAAGAATTCTTATCGATCTTTCTCTCTTATTGTGTACCAGAAACTCTGCCGAAATTTCCGCTGCGCACAACAGACAGTAGACAACCCCCGGGGGGGAGAGTAAAGAGGGAGGCCACCCTCATATCGTTAAGAAAGAAAATAGACAACGTTATCTCTAGTCAAATACAGTATCACCAACTACGTGAACTCCTCAACAAATTCGGGGTACAAAACAAATATGAATTAGCACCAAAAGATACTGTCGTGGTAAATTTTATACAACTGCAATGAATTTTTGGGGGTTTTATTAAAAAAGCACAAATTATTTTTAATAAACAGAAATAGCATAAAGATACCATATAGCAGCTAGTGTTAAAGAAAAAAAATGTAGCAGCAGCAAAAGAAAACACATGATAGATGCAAAATGAGAAATTTCCACATTCCTCTCTAGATCACTCAGTCATTTGTGTCCGAGATGCTTGGAATTCAAACATGTTGCATTGGAATTTCTAAAAGTTCTCTAGGAAATTCCATTTGCTGACAAAACCGGACAACAGAAAATAGGAAAGGACCTGAAATGAGTATCAAAATGACCCACAAGTGGCATTAATTTCGTGATGTCAAATTGTCAAACCAAGTACTCTAATCTGCATAAATAAGCTAATCATCAATGTTTCCCCCTTAAGTTTTTGTTTGATTATGTTTAGGTACGTGATCTATGTGAAGCCAGGAGTCTACGATGAGACGGTGATGGTGACGAGCACCATGAAGAATGTAACCATCTATGGAGATAACGCCACAAATACGATCATAACGGGGAACAAGAATTACATTGACGGCACCAGAACTTTTCAGACTGCAACCGTTGGTAAGCATTACTGACTACATTATAAGCATTATATCTAAACGCAGAAGACATCATAACTACTTTTGCCAATAAAATAAGAAGTATAGAATAATGATCCCAAAGATAAGTCATTCAATTTTTTGGAAAGATGAAAGAATGCGATTACGTTTCTGAGTAAAAATGATTATGTAAAATTTTAGACAGATTTTTTATGTAATTATAGTTTCTAATAGTTTATGTCTTAAAGGATGACGAGGCTTTTTTTTTTAACTCACTTGTAGAAAAACGGGTAATCTAGACGGAAAAACCGTCTAGGTTGCTCCGAATTCCGTCTAGGTTGATCAAACTAGACGAAAATCCGTCTAGATTGCTCAACCTAGACGGAAGGCAATCTAGACAGATAGTGAAATTCTGTCTAGGTAGCAAAACCTAGACGGAAATTCCGTCCAGGTTGCTACTGTAGCAGCCTGGATGGCTACTGTAGCAGCCTGGATGGCTACTGTAGCAACCTAAACGGAAATTCTGCCTAGGTTACTATTTTTCCCTAAAAAATATATTTTAAAACGTTGATTCCCTGTACATTAAATTGCATTCACGATATACACATAAATACATGATTCTTGTATATTTAATATACACCTCCAATCTAATATAATCAATTTTTATATCCAATACACACATCCAACAATCCAATCCAAAATACACGTCCAACAATCCAAATATACACATTTAACAATCTACGCCGATATCCATTTCAGTAAAAACTTTTATTATCTGAATATTTACAACATATACACTAGCAATACCAAGTCATCCGCAACACGAGATGAATAACATAGAGTACACGACATGAATAAAAGTAGAGTACTATTACAAATAAAAAACTGTTCATTACATTAAAAAAAAACTCTCACATCTGTATGCAACACAAATGGTGTTGGTAGATCAAACTTTTGATGTAGAGCTGGAAGTCTGCATAGGAAAAAAAAACATTAATAATATCCAAAGGAATAAATAATCTACAAGTTAGAGAAAAACATATAAACGATAAAACATTACCTAGAAAGACTAGCAGATATCAGAGTTGATCCATGGTATCTGCCAAAATCCAAATATTAAGGATATGTTATAATATTATTAAGCAAACTAAATTGCCATTGTGCACTAATATTTCTTTGTAAAAAATACTGCAGCAATCTAATTAGCATACGATTTTGCACGTGCTATGAATTTCTTCTTATTAGCTAGCTTCCAAGTGCATTGTTATAAACCAACTTCACCTGCAAGCAAATAACTCCTAGTTAAAGCACTAATATATAATCAAATTTCAGCAGTACTTTTCATGTTCTCAATCAATTTATGGTGAATGTATTGCCCAAACCTCTCAAAATTAAGGAAAAAGAAGAAAAGGGTGAAAGGTCATATTCGGATTAATTAGAAACTTGACGAATATTTCTAGCCCTTACTTGGGTCAATTAGATGTTAGATCTACATCATAAAACTTAAGATATAAAACCATATAGCCATGATTAATTCAAAGAGATTAACAAAAATCTAAAAGAGCGGAAGCTTATACCTGAATCCATTGCTTGATCTTGATTTTGGGTTTTGGATCTTCTAACCTTAGGGTTTTCTCTTTAGCCGAATTTCTCTCTTAGATGGGGGTGAAGAGAATTAGAGAATGTAGTAACCCTAGATTAGGGACCATAACCCCTTATTTATAGATGTTGTACTTTTGTAATTTAGCCCCTCAATAAATCACAATTACAACCTGGTATCTGCACATATAACCCCATGATTATATTTAAATACCCATTAACCCAACTTAATTGATCACTTTAGTGGGTTATCCTGAAAGATAGCAATACACATTGATTAATCATATGTGCCCACAAATAGATTTATTAGATTAAATCCAACAATCTCCCACTTGGGCACCATATGATTCCTTAAATTGTGTATAACCTTATGAGCTCAAAAATTGCTATCACTGAAAAGGTATTTCCGAACAATCTCGTCCATTGACTATATCAATATAGGATCAAAGCGGCCTTCGTCACATTTATCGTGACTCGACCCATCAATGGTCACATATACCAATACAATCAAACGACATAGATCAATCATGGATGTGCAGCATGAAAATTACATGCAATGTGATCAGTACATGTCTATTTTCAACTGGTCCTCCTTAGTGAGGTCAAAACCAAACATAATGTAACAGAGTGTCTTAACTGAATACTTTATTCTGATCAGACAATACAACCAAACATAAAGCACCACAAATACAAACTCCCACTAAAACATAATATCCTCAAATAATACCACACCCATATGAGCAGTATGCTCATGAAAGACCTTAGGTGGCAATCCCTTAGTAAGAGGATCAGCTATCATGGAGTTTGTCCCAATGTGCTCTATGGATATCTGTCCACTCTGTACCCTTTCTTTCACAACCAGGAACTTAATGTCAATATGTTTTGACTTAGTTGAGCTCCTGTTGTTATTGGAATACATTACTGCAGATTTATTGTCACAATATAACCTTAGTGGTCTTTCAACATTTTCCAAAATGCGCAGTCCCGTGACAAAATTTCGCAGCCATATTCCCTGATTGGATGCCTCATAGCAAGCTACAAATTCTGCTGCCATAGTGGAGGAAGCTACTAGTGTTTGTTTGACACTTTTCCATGATATAGCTCCTCCTGCTAACATATAAATGTAGCCTGATGTAGACTTCCTGCTATCTTGGCATCCAGCAAAATCAGAGTCCGAATACCCAATGACCTCTAATTTCTCTGATTTTCTGTATGTGAGCATGTAATCTTTTGTTTTCTGAAGATACCTCATAACCCTTTTGACTGCTATCCAATGATCCATACCAGGGTTGCTTAAGTATCTGCCTAACATCCCAACAATGTACGCAATATCCGGACGCGTACATACCTGAGCATACATTAGACTTCCTACAGCCGAAGCATAAGGAATCTTCTGCATTTCCTGAATTTCAAGGTTACCTTTAGGGCACTGATTGAGACTAAACTTGTCTCCTTTAGCAACAGGGGTGTCACCTGGTCTGCAATCTTGCATGCCAAACCTTTTAAGTACCTTATCGATATAGCTCTTTTGTGATAATCCAAGAATACCCCGAGAGCGATCTCGATGTATCTGGATCCCTAATATAAAAGAGGCGTCCCCAAGATCTTTCATCTCAAAATTCTTTGATAGAAATCTCTTGGTTTCGTGCAACATGCCTATATCATTAGTGGCAAGCAAGATGTCATCCACATACAGAACCAGAAAAATATACTTACTCCCACTGAACTTGTGATATACACAGTCATCAACAATGTTCATCTCAAAACCGAACGAGATAACTATTTGTTGAAACTTATGATACCATTGACGAGGAGCTTGCTTGAGTCCATAGATGGATTTCCTTAATTTGCAAACCATATTCTTTGGGTCTCCTGACACAAAGTTTTCTGGTTGCACCATATAAATCATCTCATCAATGTCTCCATTGAGAAATGCAGTCTTAACATCCATCTGATGTAACTCAAGATCATAATGAGCAACAAGTGCCATGATTATTCTGAAAGAGTCTTTCGATGAAACCGGAGAGAAAGTCTCTGTATAATCAATGCCTTCCTTTTGAGTATAGCCTTTAGCCACAAGACGCGCCTTATACCTCTCCACATTACCGTTTGCATCCCGCTTGGTTTTAAAAATCCATTTACAACCAATTGGTTTTGCACCTTCTGGCAATGGGACAAGTTCCCAAACCTTATTGTCTTGCATAGACTTATACTCTTCATTCATGGCATCAATCCACTGTTGAGAGTTAGAACTTTTCATGGCCTGAGAGAAGTTGATTGGATCATCTTCTAACATTCCACTACTTTCCTCATGTTCTTGGAGAAATACAATATAATCATCCGGAATAGCATTTCTCCTTTCTCTCGTGGATCTCCTTAATGGCACTGGTTCTTGAGGTTGTTGAGTTTGTTCTTCTGGAACAGGGAGTTGTTCAACATTATCATCTTGAGGTTCCGGATTTACTTCTTGAGCAACAACAGGTATAGGAACCTGAATATTGTCAAAAGTAACTGTATGGATTGGATCTGAAGCCAATTCCTCCTCAAAACTAATGTCTCTAACCTTATTTCTCCCCCCAAACTCAACATCCTCAAAGAATGTTGCTGTTCCCGTCTCAAAAATATTCCTTATAGTGGGATCATAAAACTTATAGCCCCTAGAGCGATCAGGGTACCCAATAAAGTAGCTGCTAACTGTTTTGGAGTCCAATTTCTTTTCATTTGGCCTATAAGGCCTTGCCTCAGCTGGACATCCCCAAATATGTAAATGCTTTAAACTGGGCTTTCGACCAGTCCAAAGCTCATAAGGTGTTTTAGCAACTGCTTTACTTGGTACTCTATTCAGAATGTAAGCTGCTGTCTTAAGTGCTTCTCCCCAGAGTGACTCTGGTAAAGAAGAATGAGCAATCATACTTCTTACCATATCCTTAAGAGTCCTGTTTCGTCTTTCAGCTACACCATTCATGCTAGGTGAACCCGGCATAGTGTACTGTGGGACGATACCGCATTCCTCTAGGTATCTAGCAAATGGTCCTGGACGTTGTTCACCTGAACCATCATATCTACCGTAGTACTCACCACCACGATCAGATCTGACGGTTTTAATTCTTCTGTTGAGTTGATTCTCAACTTCAGCTTTATAGGCTTTGAACATGTCCAGAGACTCAGATTTTTCATGAATAAGATATAGGTGCCCATAACGTGAGTAATCGTCTATGAATGATATAAAATATTGTTGACCATTCCAGGATTCCGTAGGGAATGGCCCACAAATATCCGTATGTATCAATTCTAAGACATCCGAAGATCTGTTGGCACCTAATCTCTTCACTTTGGTCTGTTTTCCCTTGATACATTCAACACATACGTCGAAGTCCGAAAAATCAAGGGAATCCAAAATGCCATCAGACACAAGACGCTCAACTCTACCTTTTGAGATATGACCTAAGCGCTTATGCCATAATGTCGCCGAATTTTCCTTATTTAATTTACGCTTAGTACCACGTGATTCCACATGCAAGGATTCATTGTAAGAAGCAATTGTATCAAGCAAATATAGGTTGTCATAAATACTCAAGTAACCGGTTCCCACAACATTTGAATTAAAAGATAAACTGAATTGACTGTTTCCAAATGAACAAGAATAACCTGATTTGTCCAATACAGAAACAGAAACCAAATTCCGTCTAAAAGACGGTACTACAAAAGTATCTTTTAAATCCAAATAATAACCAGTTCCTAACAACAACCTAAAGTGCCCAATTGCTTCCACATCTACCGATTGTCCGTCGCCCACAAAGATGTGTCTTTCAACATCACTTGGCTTTCGGTAGCTCAGGCAACCCTGCATAGAAACACTTATGTGAGTAGTAGCACCAGAGTCTAACCACCAAGTGTTTCTAGGTACTGAAGCTAAATTAACCTCAGAACAGACCAAAGCAAGGAACGTACCCTTATTATCACGCCAGGCGTGATATTTTGTACAGTCCTTCTTTACATGTCCAGGCTTCTTACAGAAGAAACAACCCTGATTATCCTTATGTTGTTTCTTCTCAACTGGACCCTTAGCAGCTTCCTTATCATTCTTCCTTTTCTTGCCCTTATCCTTAGAGGCATAGGCCAAATGAGCACTTTCTGTCTTATCTTGCTTCAACCTGTCTTCTTCTTGCACACAGTATGAAATGAGCTCATTTAGAGTCCATTTCTCCTTTTGACAGTTATAACTGACCTTAAATTGGTTAAACTGTGCAGGAAGAGACAACAAAACCAGATGCACTAATAACTCGTCACAAAGATCGAGTTTAAGTGCCTTAAGCTTTGAAGCAATATGAGACATTTCCATAATGTACTCCCTGATATTTCCTTTGCCCTTATACTTCATTGAAATCAAGCGAGCTAAAAGCGTGCTTGTTTCTACCTTATCGTTTTTCGCAAAACGCTTCTCAATTTCGGCAAGGAAATCTTTAGCCTTAGTAATCCCTTCGGATTCTATGCCCCTGAAGGCTTCCGGAACGCCGCGCTTAATGATCATGAGACTCATGCGATTTGAACGCTCCCACTTCTCATGCTCCTTCTTTGCATCAGGAGTGCTATCCGCATTGAGAGGTTGGGGTTGTTCAGTTCTTAATGCATAGTCAAGATCCATGCAGCCAAGAACAATTAATATGTTCTCTTTCCAAACCTTGAAGTTTGTCCCATTTAGCATGGGAATTGAGTTGATGTTAGCAGAAATTGTTGCAGCAGATGCATTAGCTGAAATAAAACAAAAGAAGCTCACATCAATAACCATAATCAATATCATTCAAATAATGACAGTCCCCATCCAAGATATCGGGCACAACATTAATATCAAGTCTTTGGACAGTAATATTAACTTGTAAGTGATACCTTGTTGCAATGATCAAACATTGACAATAACTCATGTCAAATAATGAAACTATCTTTGGATCGATTCATTATTCACATGTAAACCTTATAATTGTCACACGCTTATCATCGCAGATGTGTATACAGTCTAAATAAATATTAACCTTCCTTTGGGCCGATTAAATATTTACACGAAAGCATACACACAAACATCTCACATTCCTTATGAACAACCTACACAAGAGAGGTTACTTTGGCAACTTCTTGTTTCAATTAATCAATTGGAGTGAGAGACAACCTTAATACCTTAGTGTCATAATATTTGAATTAAATAATTGATTAAGAACCGAATTAGATTTAAAAAAGATTTTAAATCAACTGAATTTCCAAAACTTAATTGGGGTCTTACAGCTTAATTAGGGCCCATAACTTAATTGAATAAATTAAATATACCAAAGTGGACCCATGAAAAGCCGAGGCTTAACCATAATGAACACGAAGTTCCCTTAACTTCGAACGCAAGGTTCGACTGTATTGAGTACGAGACTCACTTAAGCACGAACGCGAGGTTCGTCTGAAAATGAACGAACGCGAGGTTCGTTTGATAAAAGAACGCGAGGTTCAACTTGGGAACGAACGCGAGGTTCGTTAAAAAAAATGAACGCAATGTTCAACTTAAGTACGAACGCGAGTTTCGACTGAAGTAAAATTGAACGCAGAGTTCATCCTGAGTACGAACGCAAAGTTCGACCTGAGAACGAACGCAAAGTTCGTTTAAAATTGAACGCAGAGTTCATCCTGAGTACGAACGCAAAGTTCGACCTGAGAACGAACGCAAAGTTCGTTTAAAATTGAACGCAGAGTTCATCCTGAGTACGAACGCAAAGTTCGACCTGAGAACGAACGCAAAGTTCGTTTAAAATTGAACGCAGAGTTCATCCTGAGTACGAACGCAAAGTTCGACCTGAGAACGAACGCAAAGTTCGTTTAAAATTGAACGCAGAGTTCATCCTGAGTACGAACGCAAAGTTCGACCTGAGAACGAACGCAAAGTTCGTTTAAAATTGAACGCAGAGTTCATCCTGAGTACGAACGCAAAGTTCGACCTGAGAACGAACGCAAGGTTCGTTTGAGGTAACCACCTCCTCAATTTTCGCCATGAACCCTTAGGGTTTCAAATTGAAACCGCCACCGAACCCAAAAAATCTTTGATTTTTATTTTCAAAACAGATCCAGAATTGGAAAAAATTGAAGAAAAATCAAAAAAATTCCAAAAAGTTACTGTTCACCGACGATTTTTTCGGTTACTGTTCATCCAAAAAAACTTTACTTTTCACCCGAAAAAAATTTTCGTTACTGTTCACCGAACATTACTGTTCATCCGAACCCAAAAAATGAATCTTTAACCAGAGATTTAAGATCAAAAACCCAATAAAACTTAAATCCCTAAGAATTAATCAAGGTGGCTCTGATACCACTTGTTAGATCTACATCATAAAACTTGAGATCTAAAACCATATAGCCATGATTAATTCAAAGAGATTAACAAAAATCTAAAAGAGCGGAAGCTTATACCTGAATCCATTGCTTGATCTTGATTTTGGGTTTTGGATCTTCTAACCTTAGGGTTTTCTCTTTAGCCGAATTTCTCTCTTAGATGGGGGTGAAGAGAATTAGAGAATGTAGTAACCCTAGATTAGGGACCATAACCCCTTATTTATAGATGTTGTACTTTTGTAATTTAGCCCCTCAATAAATCACAATTACAACCTGGTATCTGCACATATAACCCCATGATTATATTTAAATACCCATTAACCCAACTTAATTGATCACTTTAATGGGTTATCCTGAAAGATAGCAATACACATTGATTAATCATATGTGCCCACAAATAGATTTATTAGATTAAATCCAACATTAGAAACTCAATGAACATTTCTAACCCTTACTTGGGTCAATTGACAAACAGAAACTAAGAATACAGAAACAAACCTGAGAACCATTTGCTTAATTCTAAACCACTGTTGGTGAAAAATACTTTTCCCATCTTTCTTGCAGTAAAAATCTCAAGAATTTCTTTTGCAAGATCATGTAAGAACGTAAACATAGAAATTCAGCATACATTTCTGCAAGTGTTTCTGAAGGCTTGCCAGCTACAGCAAATAAACCAACAAATTAACATTGCAACAATGGCACTTTAGAAACAAGTGATTCCAAAAGGAGTGGTAAAAAGGCAATTTATTTAGATGTTCAGTCGCAGCAGCTACAAGTCGAGTCACTTAAAAATAACATTTTTAGCTAGAAGGCCTTGTGGTATTACTCCTGACAACTTATTATTCTGCACATACTTGCAATCATCAGAATTTACACGATAACTCAACATTCTACATATAATACTAAGCGATTGAAATGTAGAATACCAAAGAATTCAAAAAAGAAGACTTCCCCCCCTTATAGTCAACCTCTCTAATGATTTAAGTTTACATGCGTGCAGAAAAAAACTTTAATCATAGATTTCTAGCTTATGGATTCTAAATACCAAATATATTATAGTCATCACTTGCAGACATAACCCCTTCCGTGACACAACAAGCGAGAACTGTATTTGTCATATCATGTTTTGGACGTGCCTGAAATAAACAAATACCCGTAAAATCAAACGCGGATCTACATATTTGAGTTGGATTCTCTTTTTAAATATTTTATTAGTGAGTTTATAATGGTAATTTATTAGTACATGAATGCTCGAAATAAAATAAAATAAAACGCCGAAAGTATTAAGGATCCTAGGAATAGAATATTTCAAATATATTAAAACGTTGAACAAGGTCACCAAAGTGGCTGTAGTTTAGTGGTAAGAATCCTACGTTGTGACCGTAGAGACCTGGGCTCGAATCCCAGCAGCCACAATCCCAAAATTTTTAATTTTTTCAATCATATTTCTCGTTTCTTTTTTTAAAAAAAATTCCCATAGCACGTAAAGTGCCCGCTTGTTAACAACTTGTTTTGTAACATAAATTTTACTACTATGTAAACGCAGCTGCCATTTTGGCCACGGATTCATGGCCATGGGCCTAACAATCCGCAACAACGCCGGCGCCATAAAACACCAGGCGGTGGCGCTCCGCGTCCAATCTGACCGCTCCCTCTTCCTCAACTGCAACTTCGAGGGATACCAAGACACCCTCTACGCTCAAACCCACCGCCAATTCTACCGCGCCTGCGTCATCTCCGGCACCATCGACTTCATCTTCGGCGACGCGTCCGCTATCTTCCAGAACTGCCTCATCCTCGTCCGCCGCCCCCTCGACAACCAACAGAACATAGTAACCGCCCAAGGCCGCGTCGACCGCCACGAGAACACCGGGTTCGTCCTCCAACGGTGTCGCATCGTGCCCGACCCCAGTTTAAAACCCGTCGCGGAAAAGTTCCGGTCGTATCTGGGCCGGCCCTGGAAGGAGCATTCGAGGATAGTGATCATGGAGAGTGAGATTGGGGATTTGATTAGTCCTGAAGGGTACATGCCTTGGGAGGGAGAGTTCGCGCTCAAGACGCTGTCATACTCTGAGTACAAGAATACTGGACCGGGGTCAGATTTTAAGGCTCGGGTTAAGTGGCCTGGGATTAAACTGTTTGAAAAGGATGAGGCTGAGTTGTTTACAGCGACTAACTTTATCCAGGTTCGGGATTGGGTTAAGAAGACCGGATACGGGGTTAAAGTGCCCCTTAGATTGGGATTGTACGGTTGAGATTTGAGATTGTGATCGAGCCTTGTTTAGAAGGTAATTGCGTCGATGTTGGGCTCCCTATTGCTCGACGCTGGTCTCTGGGGAGAGAGATGTAGCAAATCACAGGAAACGTTAATAGCTTAACAATTGTTTTTTCCCCTCATTACGTATATTTTTCAGTTTAGTGACTTGTAATGTAATGTTCAGTAATTTGTATATTGCCAACATTGGTTTGATTGGAAGTGTGAGCTCAATTTCCATTAAGGTCTCCTTATAATCTATTTTGAGGATTAAGCTAGTTTGAATCATCTTATCACCTTGCACCCTTCTTTTAGTAACCGTGCCAAGATGGCCAGGAAATTTATTGACTAGAGGAAATACTAAAGAGCATGAATGAAGATAAAAAGGAGGCAGATAGGAGGCGTACAGCACGAAGGGATACCATGAAAAGGATTAGAGAACGTAAACGACTAATGCCGCCACTTGAATCAAGGTGTCACGTTGCTCTGAGTCGGACGTTTGCCCTGTTGTAAAGTGATGTTGTCATATCAAAAGGAAGATGATCGTACAATCAGTTGACAAAAAGGATACGCATCTATGAGTTTATTCCGAAACAAACCACGCCCAAAAAAAAAAGAGATTGGATTAGACAATAGTCAACAAGAACATAGTGTGCTCAACTCCTCTGGCCACACCTAGAATGCACTCTCAAAGAATTTAGCATTAATTGTTTACATGTTATCTAAATTATATCCTAGCGTCACGCGTCAATAAAAACAGTCAATTTTCTCCCAAAAACACAAAACAATGTAAATCAACAAGGAACCAAAACCCCAAAAACAGCGTATCACAACAACAATTAACTTCCTTCAAAACCAAACAAAGTCCAGGCTTAATTAGAAGGCACTCCACTCTTTTGAATCCATCCACGCCCTCCCAAAAACCCACCACCAACAGTAAACTTCTTAGCTTTCTTCTCATCCGTCCTTCTCGATCAACCCCTTCCACTTCACTCTATCCTCAGTCGGCGCCCAGCTCGCCCCAAAATTCCCGGACTCCCCGTAAAATATGGTCTCCGGGTGCCGAGACTCCGGCCCACGGCAACCACCCCTTTCGCATCGACAACCCCCGCCAGCGACGACTTCAGAAACACCGTCGTCAAGTAATATTCCTCCAAGGCGGACCCAAATACACACTAACATCACTCAAATCCCCAGAAGTACGGACTCACGTTGCATCCATGAATGGAGATCCCCGTGTTTTGGTTCAGGTCAATTTTGCGTTGCGCGGTGACTGTGTCCCTTTGGCCTTCCATGGGGAGTCTGGGGAAAATGTTGCAGTTCTGGAGGATGACTGGCGGTTGGCGTGCGCGTAGAGGGTGTCTTGGTATCCGTCGAAGGTGCAGCTGTGGAAGATCGATCGAGTGGTCGGGGTTGGACATGAGGGCCACGGCTTGGTGTTTTGATGAGCCGGCGGTGTTCATGAAGCCCGTGTCAATTTGCGATGAAGCCCTTGCCGAATGCCGCTGCATTAATACTGAAAGATACTTAGGATCGAGATGTACGATATATTGTCAAATTTAAAGTTTCAGAATTTTCCTAAATTTGCTTAATTTTTTGCCTCTTCTGTCATAAAACGCATCGAAATCTTATGAAATCTTATTCCAATTGGCAGTGCTTGTGTATTACGTTCTGAAATACAAAAGAGGTTAGTTTACTATAGTTCAACGAAATATATTTGTTATTTTGTATATTTCATTTGTATTATTAAACAATAACTAATATTCAAGATTTATATTTCAAATTAACTTAAGGAAAAAAAAACCATTAGCTATATATAAACGATTCTTCAAAATATACTATGACTAGGTCTTCCTAAAAATTTGCTAATCATAAAAGAAGTGTTCAAAGTTGTTTTAAGAGTGTCAATACAATGTCTTATTATATCGATGAGATCATTTTCTAGATGTTTTTAGTTATGATTTGATATCAATATAGAAAAAGAATTAGTCTCACCAAGTGGAGAAGGTCGGAGTGCCATCGACAGCATTTAGTCTACCAGAAACCACCGTCATATTCTTTCCATCGCCAACAATCAAGACACTCCACTTTATCTTCTCAACCCTAACATTCTCATAGTACACCCATTTCTTCACATATATCACCGTCCTCTTCTTGCTCTTCCCCAGCACCGCCTTCAACGCCGCCTTTATCGTCTTGCACTTTCCCGTTCCGTCCTTCGGGACAACAACATCTGCATCCTGTCGAGGATCGCTCGATCTCTGCAGCAACCTCCGCTCCTGAGTCGACATCCACGGTGGAGTTGGATTATATTCAGTGGCGTAGCCACATGGTACTTGCCCTGGGCAGCTGCCCAGGGCAAGAAAAATTGTGTTCTTGGGGGAGGGGGATACTACAAAAAGCTAAGCTAAAAAAAAGAGAAAGAAATAGTAAAGGACGTGCTAGTGAACTATAGAAAGCGAGATTGCAATCCTTTCTACTTCTATTTTGTCATTACATAAGTTGACAAGCCACGTTTTGGATTTTTTGTTTCATAAACTAGTAGTTTTATTCATCATATGCTACTTTATTCATATGCATCAAGTGAGTGAGCATTGCCACACGCATCACTAGAATATGTCACATGTTACTTACATTATTTCAATTTTTAACTTCACTAATTGTGAAATTTCCATACCCTTTAAATAATTATATTCTAGATATAGTTTCATGCTCCACCTAGGACAACAAAGTGAAATCGGGGAGCCCCGTCGTCGACTTCTGGAGGCCCGTCGTCGACTCCGATGAGAGGAGCCCCTCGACGGCCACGGCCGAGCTCAAGGAGCTTCTCCTTGCTTCCCCGCTCAAAGCTAGGTTTTGTGCCGACTTCGACGACGGAGGAGCAGGAGGATGAGACATCTCCTTCGCTGATGTTTGCGCCTTGGGATTCATCGCCAGCCAAGCTTATTTTTTCGCCCAGGGCAAAAAAATATCCTGGCTACGCCACTGATTATATTCGTTGCTCAATAGCCTCCGAAATTTGAACGATCCCAATAGATTGTGTAGGTTCGTGAATATCGCAAGGCTGTTACTGGTAATTAACTCGGTCGAGTTGTTGAATCCATCGATGCAAGTTTGCTGGTTTATAATTGCTGAGCTCAGCCACGTCTTGTTTGTGAGCGGACGTGGGCCCCCACCCACGTGAGAACAAAACCGACTTGGTTTTGTTTACGCGTGAATGAAGAGTTGATGGACGAAACCCAAGGCCCACCCGCTTCCACCTATAAATATCTTGTTTAATTGTTACTAGGGTTTCGTGCCAGGGGAGGTTTTGATTTCTTTCTTTTGCGGCTGTGCACTTGTGCGGCTACAGGAGCAAGAGCGTGAGGAGGTTTGTCGGCTGCAAACTTTTCGGCTGCAGAACAGAAGCAAGCACGGAATTTTGTGGCGGCCATAGGAGTGCAAAGACAGAAGAAAAGTTGGGTTTTTGCATCTTTTTGTAGAGAGATTTTGTGTGAGGGATTTGAGAGTTTGTTTGAGGGTTTAGGTTGTGAGTGATTGTAAACCCTAGTTGTATTCTCTCCCTCTATTAGTAGATCTCCCCCCTCCTTGCCCCGTGGACGTAGGCAATTTGCCGAACCACGTAAAAATTGGTTGTACTGCTTTTGTGTGATTTGTAATAGCTTTTAGGATCCCTCGACAGGTCAGTCCTAGAACTGATGAGAAGAAGAGCTGATATCTCACTTGGTTAAGATATTTTGTTTAAGGTTCTTATTTTTTTTGTGAAACATGAATTCCTATTGTGACCTGACTCTCTTGTTGTGCTGTTAAAGTACTGTCGAAATTTTCGTTACGCACAACAAGTGGTATCAGAGTCCAGATTTTAGATCTAGGATTTTAGAAATAGGTGGAGGAAGATTCTTGTGTGAAGCTTGGTTCTTGGAGTTCTAGGCTTCGGTGGAGATAGCATTAGGAGTTACCGTTGGAGATTTCGCTTTCCTCGTGTAGATAGGAGATCTATTTGGAATCCGATCTAGGGTTCAGTTGGGTGGTTCCTAATTCTATCAAATTTGTTATTTCTCTACAATTTGGAGTTAGTTCGCAATGGGAGAAAAAGGTGAAAGCAGCAAATCTATGGCGAGTACAATACAAGTTGGTTTTCAGAACACTAAAATTAGTGTGGTGAAGTATGACGGCAAAATCAACTTTGGTTTGTGGATGAGCGACGTACAGGATGCGCTCAATGCTCAGAATTTGGAAGAGACCATCATGGTCCACGAGAGGCCACCTAAATATGAAGAGGCGATATGGAAGAAGATCAATAGGAACGCATGTGGGGTGATCAGATCCTGTTTGGAACATGAACTGAAATATGATATGATTGGGGTGACGTCTGCAATGAAGATGTGGGAAATTCTCAACAATAAGTATCTCACAAAGAGTGTTGAGAACAGGTTGCACTTGCTGCGAAGACTCTTCAGATTTCAGATGTCCAGAGGCACCTCGCTAGCGGCTCATGTGAACAACTACACTAAGTTGTTGTCGGACTTGGCGAATGTTGATGAGAAGATATCGGATGAGTACAAGGCGATTATTTTGTTGGGCTCCTTACCGGATGAGGAGTATGATACCTTCGTGCTCACTTTGTTGAACGGGAGATCTTCTATCAGCTATAGTGAAGTGACTAACGCTTTGACGAACTACGATTTGAGGAGGAAGGATAAGGAGACTTCCCGCGCTAGTACTTCAGGAGAGGCCTTGTCGACGAGAGGTAGAAGCCCATATCCGAAAGGTGGTAATAGAGGAAGGTCAAAGTCAAGAAGCCGCCACCAATTAGCAAAGAACCAATGTGCATTCTGCAAGGAGCAGGGACATTGGAAGAGAGACTGCCCGAAGCTCAAGGAGAAGGAGAATGGCAAGAAAAAGGGCCCGAAGGCAAATGAGGTGAACGTTGCAAAAGGCGATGATTCCGATGATTCGTGCTTTTCTATACTGATTACTCCAGAGATGAACCATATGGATGCATCAGATTGGATGCTTGATTCCGGCACTACTTTTCATGTGACCCCTAGGCGAGACTGGTTTGCATCTTTTGAGAAAGTCGACGGGGGTGTTGTTGTCATGGGAAATGATCAATCCTGTGGCGTTTGTGGGATAGGTACCGTGCGGATTAGGATGCACGATGGAGTAGTCCGTGAGTTGAAGGAGGTGAGATTTGTTCCTCAACTGAAGAAAAATCTTATCTCA